CATGAAAAAAATGCATGTGCATATGTCCCATATAATGTGTGATGTATGAGTGAAGTTTGAACTTAATCGGTCCATGCATGTTCGAGATACAGGTGATCACGGACGCACGGACGGACGGACGCACACAGGGCAAAACATAAGTCCCCGTTTTCGGACTGCGTTCGAACGGGGACTAAAAATAACTGAAATGTTATGGTTATTGCGAACTTTACTATGAGTAACATATACTGAATTAATATCCCAGTAGCATAACATAGTGGTTGGTGCACTAGACTCACAAGCAGGTAGATCATACTTGTGGTTAAACACACAAAATGGGACCAACTCGCCCTCGATCAGAGTGAGTACATCAATCACCAACAAACATTGTCACCAGACACTCAAATTACGGTAATACATTACAAACAATAAATACAATTTAATTTTGCCAATATTTTTTTCTGTAAATTTTTTATTCATATAAAGACACTTAATAGTTACAAAAGAAATGAAAGAAACAAAGAGACAAATTCAACGCAGAAATCCTGAAATGAGTTGTATATACTTACCATTTGATCAAAATCTACAGTCCAATCACCTTTCTGCCATCTTACTCTGTGCTTATCTTGCGTGATACTCTGATAATCTAACTTGTCTATATCGTAGTGAAAGCGACACTCATCTCTCGTCATATGCTCTGTACTTATACCAATGGCGTCTCCAATAGCGGCACCATAAATTAAACCTAGAGTGTAGATACAGATGGAGTTGTAAGTATAACCTGAGATGTTGAAGGAATAAAGGGAACATTATCAAACCAAATAAGTAATATAATAAATCAAATTTTCTAAACATCCAGATGCCGTTTTTAACTTTAGGTGGTTTCAGCTGTGCTTCTGAATCATTTTCTCAACTGGATGATTCCTCATTCACTTTCCCTAATTTCCACATTAACTTTAATTATGTCAAATAAAAGTCTCAAGACATTCATAAACTAAAATCGAAATCTCAGATTACATCTTAGAATATTCAGACGCCCAAAAAATAATTGATTTATCCAAAAAAAAAGTTTTTGCTTTTTGTCATCATATGCATTAGTTAGAAACCTGTGCCTCGCATACCAGTAAAGCAGTAAAATGTGCCACACATGATAGAATGTTTAGTGATTGATTTTTTGATCTTAATAAACTTTTAGTACATGTATTTAAAAGCATCGTTTAAAAATGTTGTGGTATTAAATAATCTTACTACAAAAAAGATTTAAAACTGCATCAATGCATAATTTTTCAATTTTACATAGGACGATAAGCAAAACTGTTTTTTTTTTGTTTTTGTCCATATTTGCTCTTTGCTCACATCTTCAACAAAAGAAGCACATGCAAGCGTTGTACACTGGATTACGATACTAATAACCTGACTTTTATTAACCACAGACACACCTCTGTCATTTATGTAAGTTCAATCGTTAACAGCAAAAATATGGTATTTAAAATGGCCAATCAAATAGCCCCGCTTATAAAATCTACATACCAACAATTTTATCCATCAACTCATCGGCCTCCAACGTGGTTGCACCGAGTGGAGGTCTTAATGGAGTGCGCATACGACTTGTCGTATTCAACGTATGTGTCTGTTCTTGAAGATACTGAGCACGTGCAGAGTGGGGATTCAATACTGCTGATTGCAGTACATTACCTAGAAGACAAAGAATACACATAAACAATTGCAGGATGCATTTTAAACATTTAACTTGATATAAATTTCTCATGACTGCTATGCCAATCAGCCAGGCTCCATCAATACCATATTAAAGTGCAATTGTTAATGACATTAGATTTTTAGTTACTGTTTTGATTCTTAAAACAATAAAGCTGTAGATGGATTATAATTAAATGTCGGGCAAATATTTATCATGTTTGCTACAAATTGTGTTATTTCAAATTGTACCATATCCAGGTTTTCTACAATCAAAGTGGCAGCCAAGTGTCATACTAGTACGGTATATGGATACACAATAGTTTTATTTATATTTTGTTACAGTATTGTATGCCATTGGCCTAATATACATGTACAACAAAACATGTCTTTGGAGCTAGCATGTTATTTTAGCTATTTTACCTAATCTATAATTTCGCTAATTCAAAATGTCGCTAATTTAAAATAAAGTATATTATCACAGTAAGATTATTGACACTTTAGCTAAATTAAGATTCAGTTAATTCATGCATGAAGTTGAATTTGTTAAAATGTCATGTAGCTATTTAAACATGTTTTACAGTATATACTCTGATGAAAAAAAGAACAAACGGGTTATGAGAATTTAAAAATGAAATAAATTTTATATATGATGGGTATTTGTAATAGTAAGGGGGAGGTTCTCACAAATGTTTGTATTAAAGGGACATTCACAACAAAAATGAAATTTGTCTTCCAATTTCTTTCTGTGGTGGATAAGTTTATATCGTAAAACTAGGCGTTGGGGTGTTCTTTTCGTCACATAAAACGAACTGATTAAACATGCGGAATTGTTATTGAAACGGACA